GAAATATATCACACCAATAACCACGTCCTCCGCCCTCAAGGTGCCAAATTTCTCGCCAAATATTTTTGGTGAGAAACTCCACGCTGCCATATTGCTATCTAAATTTTTTGTCTACATTTCGAACTTTAAGCCTAAAATGTCTCCAAAAACATGGTTTTCGCGAATGCAAAAACCATGTTTTGAACACACAATTTAAGCTAAAAATCCAAAACAGAAACAAAAAATTTAGATAGCAAAACCGTGAAGTTTCTAACCAAAATTATTTTACAAGAGTCCATGTACACAGCGATATGTTTTAATTTTAAAAAAAATCTACGAATGGCACAATCTAGGCAACGAACGAATTTACGAACTACGCACATCTCGCTTTAATAAATTAACATAACAATAAATTTCAAAGAATACCATGTACACAGCATCCTGTTTCAACTTAAAAAAAATCTACGAATTGCACAACTTAGGCAACAAACGAATTTACGAACTACGCGCACCTCACTTTAATAAATTAACATAACAACAATAAATTTCAAAGAATACCATGTACACAGCATTTTGTTTCAACTTTAAAAAACATCTACCAATTGCACTATTCAGACGGTACGCACTAATCAACAAAATAACTAAAATAAATTTCAAACAATTCAAAAAAACAACAATAACAACAGAAATTCATACTAAAAAAACAATGAACATTAAATTCTACAAAATAAGAACAAGAATAAAATAAAATGCACTTACCATTAATGCTTTTTCGAACAGCAGAAATACCAATTTCATACCGCCTTTAACATGCCGCCCATGTAATCACTAGTATCGTATTTATATGACAGCCAGACACACTATCAAGAAAATTCATACTGTGGTTCACAAATAAATAATAATAACAATAATCACAAATCCCTACTTCTATCACGCGCAACCACTAAAAATAATCTCCCATACCTTCTTTCCACACCTCCAAATACCCGTTGCCCCTCAACAGGATGGCCACGACGAATATTTCCTTATGCCGAACTTCAATTCAACAACTTTCACCATTAAATCTTTCCCCCCTAGCTTCTCAGACACAAAGCATGATGGGAACCAACGAACTCCAGCGAAAGACTTTTCAACGTCAACAGGGTTGCCATACAACACGTAATCGCGCCAAAAACCAGCACAGAACACATATCGCCACATTTGGTGAAATTAGGGCGTATATCAGAGTTGTACCTCTGATATATATCATGCCGTCAATGTGGTTTGGATTAAATTATTGTTGTTACTAATATATGTAATTTATTTTCATCAGTAATCCATATGTTACTGACAATTTCGTTGGAATGTAAAAGATGCAAATCTATGATATACTATGTAATTGGCATTCATATTTTTCGATTACACACTTTTAAATTTATGCTTGTTTCGAACATTCTGTGTATTTTTAGACGAGATGATTTGTAAAATGAGATGGTTTTCTAATTCTTTCGCTGTCTCGATTTGTAAAATTTCCAGTGTGTAAAAGGAAAACATTGAAAATTTTAAATTACTTTTATTGTATGAAATACAGAAGATTCAAAGTTAGTAGATAAGTGATGCATCATTTAACGATATTTGATGCGTTTAAGATCCTGCTAGCGGAAAATTTGGAACGATTGCCATAGTAAAAAATTCTACATTGGAATAAATCTAAAAGATTTTATTATTAGAAAATTTGGCTCAAAATATATGGAAGAGTTTTACACTCTCGTAGTAAATTCGTTTATTATTTCAACAGTATTTATCGCCATGTTGAAACATGGGCAGTTATTTAAAAATACGGAAAAAGTGTAATTATTTAAGACTAATAATATGCTTCGGCATAAAAATATTTCAATGGATCGCTTGCATAAGACTTGCAGCAAACTTTTCCATTAAGCAGTAATTCTTTTTATTCTGCGACCTTCGTGGCTGCAACCGGAATCATTAGCAAATCACAGGATTGCACTACTGATCTGAAACATCTGAAATCGTTTATACCTAGACAAAGAACTTCTATGCCACCTTATCACACTGTGTAAAAAGGCCTAAAAGGAAAATTTTGCTTTCAATTATACACACGACCCCCCCCCCCTTATTATTTCTCACGTAGTAAATTCGTTTATTTTCAGTATTTATCGCCACGTTGAAACATGCGCAGTTATTTAATGCGAAAAAAATATAATTGTTTAGGAGTAATGATATGTTTCGGCATATTTTTCAATGGATCGCTCACACAAGACTTGCAACAAATTTTTCCATTAAGTAGTAATTCTTTTTATTCTGTGAGCCATACCAGCTTACTAAAAACCTGTGTAAAAAAGCATAAAGGGAAAATTTTGCTTTGAATTATATGTACGAAAACCCCACATGGGCTGAAGTTAGTTACTCTGACCAGTGTTAGGTTTCAATGGATAGTGTATTTTTCTTTTATGCTCTTACAAAATAATAGCTATATATTAAATGTTCATAAAGTTAAGATCTGCAAATGTAGTTTTTTTTTAAAGTTTAAGAATGCTTCATTATCAGTTATTAAAAGACAGGCTAATATTAAAGAAACAATCAGAATCGCAATAACAACCTTGTATTTAGCGTATATATATTAAAACACTCAATCAATTTCGAGGGCAGCTAAAGATCCCTCCTCAACAGGAGAACGAAATTCCTAGAAAAGGGGGAAAAAAAAAAGGAAAATAAAGCATTGGCAAAGGAGTCTCAGAAACACATGGTCGTAACCGGATTTTGAATCAGAGTTACACTGGCTGCCAACTTTTACTGAGCCAGGCTATCTGATCAAACATATAACACATAGTTTGAAACGCAAAAAATTCAGCAAAGTCAAAAAATAGGAAGCAAGGGGCAACTGCACCTTCACGCACCAAGTCTGAACCTCGAATTAAAGAAACAGTTGTTGAAAAACTATGGTAATCTTCTTTCGTACTATTCTTGTTAACATTCAATATCTCGAGCAAACAAAAATGGCCATACCGCACATCTATCTTGATTAAATTCAAATTGAAGATAATAATTAATTTTTAGTAGAAAAATTTTCGTCAAATATTTTTCTCCAGAATTCTAATTAGTTAGTTGATTAGAAATGTATTTGCACAATTTTGCTTCCATTCATTTGTCATAAAGTGAGAAATTTTGTCAGCGAAAATAATTCATTTTATTATTAATTATAAACATATAATTTATCGTCAGTTTGAAATATGTCTCATTATTTAATAAAGAAAACGAGTGAGCATACATGATAGGATTATGTATATATTTTAATAAATTGCTCTGAATATGCTTTTCCATTATGTAGTAATTATTTTTATTCTGCCATGATATGAAACTTTCCTTGCTAGCAATAATAACTACATCTTCCAGATGTGTAAGTTAGGCTAAAAGAAAACTAATTTCGGTTAGACATACACTATGGTTTTCCTTGATCTGAAATATGTTAGTTAATTATGCATTGGCAAAAGTTAATTATTGTTACAAGCATATATTTTAAAGCAGAGGACATTTCTAAATTTTAACACCTTTTTCTAAATAATATTTTATGCTTATAAAAAGTTTGATATTTTTAACAATAAGATTAACAAATATAGTTTTGGACGGTTTAGAAATGCTTTTACTGTGAACTCGGGAAAGTAAACATTAAAAATGAGACAATAAGAGAGATAGAGTAACATCTTTTGTAATGTTTATAATAATCTTGTTAACATTCAATATCTGAAATCAAATAAAAATTAAAAATAAACAAAATCATTACACATTACATTATCATTCACAAACAGTATGTGCGAAGGATTTGAACCCAAAAGAGTTTAAAAATCAATGAAAACTCGGTTAGCAAGCTACAGATTAGTAAAATAGTAATTAAAAAAAAATCCGAAACCTTTAAGATTTTATATTACGCCAAAGGGCCTTTTTTTAACCTTTATTTATTAAATATTATATTCTATGCACTTAAAAATCATAAAATCCTAAAATTAAATTCAACAGCAATATCACAAAATAATTTAAAAAGTGCATATCTTTATATGATAATTTTCTTTCGTGGTGTTACATTATTCTTGTGAATATTGTAAAGTTTTAAACTAAGTTTGTAAGGTAAGAGAAGCTATAGTTTGAAAGAGCGTCGATATTTAAAGCACCATATCCCAATCATTGGTTTAATTATTTGAGATACGCATCTGAGACGGGAAAGTGGTTAGTGACTTTGACTGTGATATATGGGTTCCTGGAGGCTTATAATCATTCTGTACCGTGCCACGCGCATAGGGAAAAATCCATCTTCGTGATTGGATACGGCTTTCGATAGCTCATTTCCTCTAAGTTTAGGAATGCCCTGACTTTGCTTGGGCTCGAGAGTACACCTTCATACCATTTGTTTACATTTTGATAGCAGTACCGAGAAGATTATTACTATTAACAATGTGCGTTGTATTTTTGTTGCCATGAGATTACACTTTTTATGGCACTGCAGTATTTTACATTTTATGTAAAAAATGTAGTGTTTATTTTCCCTAGAGGGGAAAATTATTTCTTCTAGTGTGCTAACTCCGTAAATGTGCATTCATATCAGGTACAGAGGTTTCTAATAAATGCATTCTTAATGTAAAACCATTCGTATTAAAGGTGTTGTGATCATTAATTTATTATTTCATGTTCGTTAAACACGCATTCTCTGCAGATGAAGTCTCCAAAAGTACGAGACAAATCAATTTTTGAAAGTAGCAAAAATGTTGGGAGCTAACATAATATACAGTAAATTCATAATATTTGTTGTCAGTCGGAAAAAATAAAATTTATTTCTGAAGATTACTATAGAGCTACGTATGTTTAAACTGAATAATATTACATATATAATATTATATGAATAATATTAATGATTATTGCTTTCGTACTTTTGTATGAAAATAGTGTATATCACAGAAGGAAGTTTCCTTTCTTGTATAAGCATATTAAATTTAGCGACAATACTGAATTCACTTTTCCTTCCATTTAAGGCACCAGAATAATAGAAACGTGAAAGGTATGGTCATTAACATGGAAATAACATGTACAGCTGCAAAGGAAATACTTTCTGCAATGTGAAAGGAACAGAATGCAACAAAAGTGTAATAATAATATACTTACTATCTTAGTGCTATCCAATATGTTTTCATTTTTGCCCTAAATTCATGAACTAAGCTTTGGATGTAATCAAGCGTTTAACATTGATTTTGATATTGACAGCATCTTTGAAAGATTTTTAAAAAATTTTATGCCATGAAACAGGAAACTGTCTGTGAAGATTTTTTTCTTCTCACATTATTATTCAAAGAAAACAAACGATAACTTTCACGCTTATTTTCACGCTGCGTATTTTCAACTGAAACAAACCATAAGAATTCCGCCTGAACGTCATTACTCCTAGAGAAAATGATGTCATCGGAAAGTATGTGCAATTCAACAAGTACAAATATTTTAATATGCCCGTGGCGGAGTGCAGAATGATTGTATGCTTCCCAGACAACTCTTACTTCGATAGCTCGCGGGTTCGATTCCCGGAAGAGGCATGGATGTTAATTATATGTTCTTTGCTAGCTTGCAATAGTGTCCCACCTAATAGGTGGCTCCATAACAAAGTGACCACCGCGTTTGGCCTTAGTAGTGGCCAACACCTATAATGGCTAGTGTTATTGGGGGAAATATGTACTTCAGATATTTCGGGTTGGAAATCTTCATGTAAGAAAAAAGGTTGGCAGTCCAAAAATTATATGCATCGTTTACATATCTATTTAATATCCGTACATCATTTGCTGCTTTAATACAATGTGTTTTGTTTTTCTTTGCTAATTATAAAATTCATTACTGTTTGTCACTGGGGACATAATTATCAGTAAATAAAATTGATTTTAATGCAAAAAATGTGGCTTTAAATACTGAACTTGGATAACTGCTCTATAAAAAATACAGGGTTATCCAAATTAAACTTTCCCAACTCAGAGGCCTGTGCAGAGTGTTGTATGGGTCATAATGTGATAAAATTTTAAAAACAGACACTTCAGATCATGCACTCGAGATTTATTTAAAAAAAAAATAGTACAAGAGTTCCGATAGGTAGCGCTGTAACACTATTATGTGCATATTGCAGCAACGTGATTTGCAGAATAACTTCTGCGCAAGTATCCCAAAGACGAGCCCTACAAAAGTGGAAGACAGGGGGTCCTGTAGTTCGTAAACATTTGCGTTGCAGTTCCTTCCAGAATGGAAGTCGATGCTGCTTGACCATGGAACATCCTTTAGACAGATGAGGCCCATTTTCACCTGAATGGTCAAGTGAATACGCACACTGCCGCATTTGGGAAGTGAAAAACCGCGCACAATCCATCAGATGCCCTTTAACCCTCCAAGGTTACTGTTGGTGCAGTTTCACTGCAACGTTCGTCATTGGGCCAGATTTTTTGAAGAGGTGACCCCCAACAGGCTCAAATCTGCTCTATAAAGGAGAACGGTATCAGGAAATGTTGACAACGTTTGTGATCCTGAACTGCAACAACGTGGCCGCCCCAGGACACGATATTTGGCAGGATGGTGCACCTCCCCATATTCCTTGTGGCGTTCAACAGGTGTTACCGATGCAAGTGTGGCCATCGCTGTTTCCCTCCAGCTTCCTTCAGCTCGCCTGATCTCACGCCATGCGACGTTGGTTATTGGGGATTCTTAAGGATAGTGTTACCGAGAACACCCAGCAACCTTGGCAACATCTGAAAGAGCAATTATCGACTGTTTCGGGAATTAATGTGGGCTTACTGCTTCCACGTGGAACACATGCTTTGCGAATGGAAGAGTTGTGGAGAACAACGGCACATATAGAACATCTGTAGATGTCTTGTGATCTCCAGCGCCACCTATCGGCAACTTCTTGTACTAATATTTTTTGTTTAATAAATCTCGAGCGCATGATCTGAAGTGTCTGTTTTTAAAATTTTATCACATTATGATCCATACAACACTCTGCACAAGCCTCTGAGTTGGGGAAGTTTAATTTGGATAACCCTGTATATTCAGCAGACATTCAGGGATGTAAGATGATAGGAAAAGGCCTTAATTTCTTGAATGATACGTGCAGATATACAGTTTTATGAAAACAAATCTCAATATTCAGTGGGGATATTACATGTATATAAAAATATGAAACCTAACTTGTTCCTCTTGCAACAAAAATTCCAGTTGTTAAAATATTGGTCACGATTGCACAATGTAAGCACAAAATATTTCTTACCGTTCCAACTAGTTTTCAAATTGTTGATGATAAATATGACCGCCCTGTGTTGTATTTAGAGAATTTAAATAATGGAGAATCTGCATAAATGTATCAAATTTCTCCCATTTTGGAAGAAGGGGGGAAAAAACAGCATTATCTAGAGCCATTAAATTTTGAATTTTTATTATGTATTTCACATTCTGTAAAACTTTAATGAATTTTCGATTGACAAATTCAACAATATTAAAGCGAGCTTTGGTAACACCATACGAAAAAAAAAGCATTTTCCCTCCATTGCGCGATATTGTCTATCGGAAATTCTAAACATATGGTGTTTTCAAATGTTTTGTGATTTTGCTTTGAATCGTATTTTATGTAGCGTAAGTGCCAAGAACGTAATATTAAATAAATAAAGTAAACACACAAAATGTTAATAATGAAAAGACAAAATAAAGTTTTGTAAAGCCATCTTAGTAAGAAAACTGAACATTAATATAAGATAAGATTGAAAAAACATAAAAATGCCCACAAACACTTAACCCTGCATCGGGAATTCTAAACGTGTGCTGCTACCCTGCTTTAAATTTTTTTCTATTTTTGCTGTTGAATTGTACATGGTGTCAAAGCTAGGAAAATTATGCTTAATAATAAAGCTAAAAAGAAAAGTGTTAGTATGAGTGAGTAGTGCAACATCAAACTGGTAGAACGCGAGCTCGGCGAGACCGTAAGAAACTTAACCAAAGAACATGCCTTAAGGAGTTTTAGGCAACCGTTAAAATCGAAGCCTTTCACATTTTTTTTTTTTTTTCGTTTTTTTGTTTTTAGATACAGATGCCGAGTATGCATACGCATAATACTTTCCTAGCTTTATCCTAGAATTTTTGCTGTTTTGTTTACTGTGTTTGCTTACACAGTTGGTGATCGTTTAGCCAATTCAGAATATTAAGTTTAGTACGGTTTAGAGCTAATTAACATTCAACAAAAATTTTCTTGTTTTGCAGTTTTAGATCAACGGTTTAGAGCTAATTAACATTCAACAAAAATTTTCTTGGTTTTGCAGTTTTAGATTAACATTTATTTTACTTAATTAAAAGCACAAAATTAAAATTGCTATTTACGGAGCTTTTTATTCATAATTTTAATTTTCAACTTTTAATATTTTTATTCATCTTTCATTTTCAATTTCTTTCATTGATAATATTAATTAAATATCTGTGGTATTTTATGGTACTGAGCTTTTTATTGGTAATTTCGTTACCTATCTGCAAAAAGTAAGATTTTCTTAATTTTTAGTAAACTTTCTAGTATTGAGAACGGTTTCTTTGTGTTCATCATTTCCGTCAAGTTAAACATTTTACATCATTTCGTATCCTTTTAAATCTAATTTTATAAAACTGATATTTCTTGGTGGTTTATATTTCAATTTATATTTACGAGACCTTTTCTAATTTCCTCTGTAACTCACTTTTATCAATCACTGAATTTCAATACTCTTATAGACTAATTTTAACAATAATTTAATTTTAACATTTGATAATTACACTTTTAGGTTTAATGCTTTTTCCGTAATATCTACGTATGTACTTTTAGCCAAGGTTATTTCTTTTTATTCCTATATTATATGTTTTTGTTTGTGGTTCCTGTTGATTTTTTAATATTGAACGTTTCATCGTATTTCGCAATAAACTTCTTTTGAATTCCATAGCAAGAAATTCATGCTAATTTCAAACGATAATGCATGATATTTGAGGAACATTTAGAAGAAATTTTTTTAACGTAGAATCCAAATCAGGTTTTCAGGAAATGGCGAAAATGTTTTCTCCTTAACAGCAAACAGGTTTTCATTGTATCCTTTAGAAAGGAATGCACTGTGTCATCTTGAGTAATTTTGCCTTTTCTATCTAATTAAATATCGTTTCTTTCTTAAGTAGTTAAATGTTTTCTATTAAAATAATTATTCCCTTTTTAAAAAATAATTAAATCTTTTCGCCTTTAATTTTAGGTCGATTAATTCTTAAACTAGGAAATGTATCATAACCTGTTTGCTTTTAAATTGCTTCATGTATTAAACAAAAATATGCATATAGTTTTTAATATAATTATTTTTTCACTTTTAAAAAATTTTGAAACTCTTTTAGACATTAGTAGCAAATTCTTCTATGCTTTAAACTGAAGTTCCAAAGTGTGTAATCTTATTATTAATTATTAGCATATCTTACATCTTTTTTTAAAGTAATACTGGCAGGAAAAAAAAAAGAAAAAGAAAATCCGAGGAATAGTCGTCTTCAGTTTTTTTTACTGCTCCAATAGTTTTTCAAATTCTTGTTATTTTACAAAGAATTTTGTAGTTAAATCATACCTAAGAGTGTGTTTTGAAATATTTTTGATTTGTGCTCGGATTGTTTTTTTATGTACCTTAATTTCTGTATTAGTACAGAATTATATAATTTAGCACTTTCGGAAAGAAAATTCAGTTCCTGGAGAATCGGCGTATTTAACTAAGCTTTTGTTTAGAACATCCAGCAATATAGAAGAAATTCATTCTTTACCTCTATCGTAACCTTTCGAAACTTCTCGATTGTATTATTAATCTGCTGAAAAGTTGGAACAGAAGATGCATTCATGAACTTCGATGCATTTACATCTGTATTACACAGGGTTCGTAGCAGTCCTTATAAGTGCTTACAAGTCCTTATATTTGAAAATAAAATATAAAGGCCCTTATAGGTGCTTACGTTTTCTTTAAAGCCCTTAATTTTTTGTTTTTAGTGCCTATTTTTTGCTTTTAATGTTTTTTTTTAATGAACGCGCTATTTTTCCCCGTACCAAAGCCGAAACTAAATAAACAACTTTTCTTCCTAATATGAAATGTCAGATGGTGAATCATACTCCTGGAAATAGCTTTTCCCCCTTTCTCTGCATTAACATAACTTTTGGTGTGCATGAAGAGTACAGACAGGTGCCCGTCGTTCTATTGGTCAAAGAATTGCGAAAGCAGTAGAAAATTCCGGTACATTCGGCATTCTTTCCTCCCCCCCCCCAAATACTACACACGTTTGAATTTCTATCAAGATCTTAAAAATTTGCATTCGCCTTCTGCTTGGTCAGTTCATATTCGTGTTTATTATGATCGTTATGCTTATATTATGAGCATATGTATGAATGTTTATAATAACATAGTTGCAATAACTGCTGAAGTATAGTAAACTTCCAAAAATGGTTTTCTTTTAACACAGATTATCTTTCTAAGGAATAATATTCGGAATGGCTTAAATAAAGGGAAAGTAATCGAATAGTCAAAATAATTTCATTTTTTTGGCCAATACATTATACAGTACGAAGGTTGAGAGGTCTCCCCTTTCTCCGCAAAATCTTGAATATTGAAACTGTTACAGTTCGCTGCAAAGCAAGCAACAGACCAATTTTTTTTTTGTCACTTTCCAATCTGGATTGAATAGGACTAAAAGTTCTGCGGTCTACCAACCCAAACGAAGAATGATTCTATTCCGGAAATTTAACGCCATCTGTTGAAAATTAGAATGAAAAACACCCCAGTGATTTAGTTCTTTATTCTCCCAATACCGGCAGTTGTTGATTCCGATTGCGTAATATCACGTAGGGAAGAACTACGACGCACGTATTGTGCAATAATGTTTGCGATATTTTGCAGAGATAATTAATTTTGATGTTCAGTCCGAGATTTGTTTATGAGCACTTAAAAGAGTTTTACTGTGCTTGCTAAGCAGAATATTTTTTAGTTCCGTTGGTTTATTTTTATATGATGCACATATCAAAATGTCAAAAGCATTTATTTAGCGAAAAAATCTAAAGAGCGGGTACAGTCTACCCCCCCTCCGCTCCTTCAAGTTACGCTCGACTGTCCGAATATTCGCCAATTTCCAAGTATGCAGGTTAGTTAAGCTTTTACTGTTAAAGGATGACTGCATGAAGTAAATTTCTGTCTTCTGATTTCAGAAATGTTCCTCCTTTTTACTTAAATTACTTTGCTTGCAATATCTGTTAAGGGAAAACTGATATACAATGAAAATTTAGAAAATGTTCAGAATTTAGATTTAAATTATTTAAATATCAGTATGAGTGGAAAAATAAATTGTATTTATTATTAGGTTCGAAGCGAATACAATAAATATGCCTTATTATTATTTATTTTCTCTGTTTTGAACTGAAATTTCTTCATTAAATCTTGTAATATAGTTTAGTTCTTCATAGTTTTTTTTTTTTTTTTTCTCTCTCATTGTAAACTAGTTCTGTAAATTGAACTATTATTTAAAATTAAAAAAAAAAAAAAAGTAATTATTTTCCATGGATGCTTATTCTCTCTTAATAAGTACTGCATTTCTCATATTTTAAATTACAAGTCTAATTTTTAAGATTATGCAGTTGTGTATGATGTAATTAGACAGGTGCTTATTTTTTTTCTTAAAATGTGCTTGAAAAGTGCTTATAGGTACTTATTTTTTTAACTAAAATGTGTCTATGAACCCTGTTACATCGGACGTTTTTATTCTCGATGTCGCATATCGACATCTACCTGATGTCTTTATTTCCTGTATATTGCTAAATATGAATTTAAACGAATGCTTGCTTATCACTAATCACGTGTTTTCAGTTAAGCCGTGCACATAGGTATGATTTATTAATTGGATACAATTTTTAATTAATATTCAGTATTTTTATGTATTTCCATAAGTATGCCTCTTGAATTCTACAACTTTAGTTAATAGCAAAGCAGGTTTGGATATTACTTTTACCTTCGTGCGAAGCATTTAATATAAGTAAATTCTAGTGAAATCAATAAATTTAGAAATATTCCAATAATAAAATTATAGTTATTCAGAGAAACTGGAAAAAGCCGTCAATGGTGGTATTATAGTCACAAATTTTAAGCTATATTCGAAGTCCACAAGCAGTTGTGTAATTATTCCAGGTCCGTAACAGAAGTGGAATTTCAAATAACTACAACAGTAAAACGGTAAATCGACAACATTGTAAATCAGCGTAGATTTTTGTAAAATTCCTGGTTTAATACGCTTAAGGCGTAACTTACAAAATCGATTCTTATCTGTAGACATATTTCAAAAGCGTCATATATATTCATATTCACATATTTCAAAAGGGATTTTACAAAAATCTATGCTGATTACAAGGTTGCCGATTTACCTGTGTTGATGAGAGAACAATAAAGAATATGAGAGGAATGTTATGCTCATGTGCCACAGATAGCTCTTCCCTTCTTCCAGAGCAGTAGTATGTCGGAAGTTTAATAATTCCTTTTCACAGTTTACTTTAAGTGATGTGGGTTGTGAAGAATATCTAACATAAATTTAAAAACTACATTTCTTTGCAGGATATAGAATATCTCGTCGCTGATGCTGCTGTACAAGCTTTGGTCAATTATAATACTGAAACTATTAAAGGCATTTTAAGAGAGATGCCTATAATAGCCCATGAGGATTATGATGCTCCCAAACGGATCCGGCTCAATACTGTGGAAAATTGTATTTTTCGAATACCTGTTGTGTGTCTGCTCTCAAAAAGTGACGCTGCTGTACCAGGTAATGTTAGTCTAATTGCACAGTTTTATAATGTTTCACATTTGCAAAAGAACCATTGAAACTGAAATTATGTTTGTTGCTGTAGGTTTATTAATGCAATATTTTGTTTCGATTAGTTTCTTTCTACCACCTTCTTTATGTTTACTAGAAGCTCTCATTTAAAAGAGGAAGTGAGTTTTTCAATTTAAAAGCCTCGTATTCCCTTTTGGTAGCAAACTCTTAACCGTTTGAAGATCTCTCTCTACACATTTATATGTGTTTCATGCTTAGTGTCCATCTATGTTAATTCTCGCTGTTATCTCTTTCCCTGGAAAAATGCGAAAAGAAGTGAAATGTTAAAATATTTTTTGCCAAATTATATTGAAAAATTTATATGATCGACTCAAAAATTCTAATTCTTTGATTTACTAATAAAATTTCTGTTACATCCTTTTAAAAAAATTAAGTTTACTTTAAAAAACTATTCTTAAGCATTTTCCCCCATAACCCTGAGTTAAAATTTTGCTTCAGTTAAAATCCTATAACCTGAAGTTTCTTTTTGTTTTGTATTTTTCTTATTTACACATGAGATAAATTTTTTTTGGTCACAATTTTATTTATAATTCTTATTAAGAAGTAATATAAATTCTGATGATTTGTATGGTGAAACATATTTAAGAACCTATTGAAAATAACATCTAAAAGTGATCATGTATCAATCATTGCCCAAGGGATTAGCCATAGACGTGGCTCAGCTGGAATAGCGAAACATTTAATATAATATTAGTAGAATATACATTTAGACTAACTTGGAAATGTTATATATCTTCTGTATATTTAAAAAGTAAAAAAATATGTAATATGATTCTACAAAAATATTTAATATTTTTATTAAATATATCATGAATTATGTGCATTTTTAAATTAATCAGATTAAAAAGTTAAAATGATAATGTTTTTTATAAATTGCATCTATTGCTTTTTAAAACCTTCATTTCTTTATCAGTAACAGACAGATTAAACATGACAGACAAAATAAATATGAGAGAAAAATATCGTACACTTTCAAAACTAAAAGTTTCGAAAGAAAAGTGAAACAACGCATTAGAGCTAAGAATACAATTGAAAAGTGAAAAAATATATAACATTATTAAAAACATATTTAAACTTTTATTTAGAGATATCATGAACTAAATGTATTTTTTATTTAACTCATAGATTCAAAAGAAGAAATGACTGTTCTTAAAAACTGCATGTATTACTTTTAAATAGCTTACATTTGCTTATCAATAAGACACACATTAAATCTGAAAAATTGATGTCTTGCATTTTCCCAAATGGCAACAGAACTGAATGTAAAGTGAAACACAAAATCGCACTTTGAGACTAATAGCCCTTTTATTTTAAAAAAGCTTTGTCGCTGACATGGAAGTAACGAAATATTTCTATTTCTTTTAACTTTAAATGGAAAGTTAAAGAATTTAATGAAACAACTTATAGAAAATTAACTTTTTTATGTGATAAAATCAAGCATTATTTCTCAATATAAGGAACCGCTAAAATTACAGTTTTATAAAAATCTTCCATCGGTTCGATTTTGCGTATGGATAAAAAGTTAAGATTACGATCTGTGAAGGTGTTTGCATTTCCCATTTGTAAGAAAAAAATATTTTCCTCATATTTGATGCAATTCTACGCTGAATATTTTATTTACGCTAGTAGTTTTAGATGCTTTTAATTAATGTTCCTTATTAACTTTTATATTTTCTTGTAAATAACAAACAAAAATCATAAATTTTGTTGAGAAGATCCATACAGGGATTTCACTAATTGTTATTGCATTTTGTTAAGAATATGTTTTAATAAATCTTGTAAGACTTCATATTTACGTACTTCCTAGACATTTATAAGAGACAATTTTTGCTTTAAGGTCTTTTTGCTCACATAAAGAATAATGCTGTCTTAAGCGATGTTCTGCTTAATCTGGCGGCCCGTATGAAAGATAACGAGTTAGTTAGAGTGCTTTTAGAAAAAGGAGCTGATGTTAATAGCACTAACAAACGAGGAATGACAGCTCTGCATATAGGTAATGTCAAAAATATTTTTTGCAATTTTTTTCGAATATACATAGTGAAATAACTTGTACATTCGAACAGAAATGAATGTTCCGAGTGTTTATTTAATCAAGAGAGTTAATGCCTAATACAATTATTATTTTACTTACATTAATAGCAATTTGTAATTTACTTACTTTCATTTCCAGTTTGACCCTAATATATTTAATTATAAATGAATTATAAGAAAATATCTCCATCAGCAATACGAACCGATAAATCAGAGATATAAAGCAAATTATAGTCAGTATCAGTGATATGTAATTGTTGCATGTTCTTAATAACTCAAGAATGTGATTTAACAGCTTTAAAATCTGCATTTGCGTTTGAAATGAATAGACTGAACACACCAGAATTAAAGTGCCAAATTCGCTAAACTATGGAATTGCAACCAGCGCTCAGATAATGCAAACAGATTATACAGTCAAAAGTCATTAATCCGGACTCGTCGGGACTTCGGCTATTCCAGATTATAGATCATCAGTTTAAATCTGGTAAGATGGCATACAGAAATTATAAAATTAAAAATATGAAACCGTAATTTATGAAATAAAGAACAATTATGATCTAAAGGGTATCAAAATTTACAAAAAGCTTAATATTTATTTATTTACTTTATTAAACATTTCTTTCAATGTAAGTTGTTTAAGTTGCTTCGTTTTTTACGTGATAATACATTCTCCTTAATTCTATAAACAGACATAATTTCTTGTTCAATTACAAAGTTCCGCTGTTCAAGTCCTATAATTGCTGTGTCTACCGACTAATTTGTCAATCGAAATTTTTTTGTTTTCAATAACCTCTGTCACTTTCTTCGCTATTGGAAGCGAATTATAATGACGAGGAATTTGATTTAAATCATATCAAAGACGGAGTACATTGAGATGAAATACTACATTTAGTAAGGAATTTAAGCCAAATAAAATAAAAACATCTGCCCTGAAGATAAGGATAGTGCTGACAAATCAACTTCCAATTCATTCCGCTCCCGCTGCGGCGTTAAAGATAAACAAAGTTTAGATAAACAAAGGATATGCCTTTATCCATTTTTTGCAGCAATTCCACTTTTTGTTTAATGAACTTCAAAATATACTTTTGCTTTGTAAATCCTTTACATATTAGTAAAAATATAAAGAGAAATTCTATTTGACATAATCGAAAGTTCAAGCTTACTTTTATAAAATTGCTTTAACAGTTTGCAGAAAATAATAAGCCGGATCCAATTCGAAGATTAAGGAACAACGCTATTTGCAACATTAACTGAAATAGAGAATTAGATCATTTTAGCTTAGCTTATACCGTCTGTTATACATTAAATGCGCACTCGTAAACGTATTTTGTGCACACGCACAAGCATATTCGCAGCCGTAAAGGTCTTACGCGTGCGACACTTGCGCGGAAAAATTGGAGCTTTGAGGTCCGGATTATAGATCATTCCAGATTATGGGTGTCCGAATTAACGACTTTTGACTGTATTCGTAATTTTCAAATGTAACACTAGGACGACCAGTCCCCTTAAAATGTTTTGGGCGAAGGTGTCGTCCGTCTTAGGTACGCAGCATCAAATGCTCAGGTACAATCCGCATATTTTAAACTCTAAAAGCACAGAAAACATTTTCCCTCATGTACTCTGGGGAAATCTAGAGCTGGAAATTATAACTCGTAGATCAGCCAGGAAGTAACGGGGAGAAAGCAGGCAGTATGAATATGTTTGTAAAAGTTTTATATTTCAACAAGCTTTTCGCGAATGCGTGTAAGTTAGAGGCTATTTTGAGACGTCTGGTAAAATCATCTTCAATTTCGCTTAATTGTACAAAGATTACACTTGCAAAGCCTTGCAAAAATTATTGCAAATGATAGCAAAACATCTTTAATTTTAAACATCTGATGTTTCTGCAACTTTCCCGTGACTGCTATTCCGATTGCGAATTTTGCATGAGTTTTAAGGCACCAATCAGCGATCGCATTCACTTCGCAACCCGGTCGATGTGCGGTGATGGATGAAGTTCAACTTCTATCCGTATGTCTGAGGAAGCGTTGGGGTCACGTGGTAAAAAAGGAGCAATCAGGTGTTGTCACCAAAAGCTAATGGCGGCAGAAGTAGGGATGAACGCTGGATCAAGGAAAGAACGTTTTGCTAAAAAATAATTATTTCTGAATTAAGGCCCGTTTCCATTAGTGCGTTGCGAACGCGTAGCATCATCGAGAGAAACGCTGACGGAGGATTTACACTTACGGAAGTTCGGTGGTTGATTGCATTTATTGCCACCAGATGTCTCTGTATTTAACTTAGGGGATTTGGATTCTTAAGATATTTAAATTCCATGCTATTGGAAATTTTTATTTCTGCTTATGAACTGTGAAAGTAAAGTACACTAGTAATTTTTAGATAAGTAAGGTTATAAGGCATATTATAAACATCACTAATTGCATAGAAGCTAAAGTAAATTTTTAAATTTTCTTTGCCTTAAATATTAATAAAATAATATATATATTATTAAAACTAAAATGTACTGTTACTGAAAAAATAATAAATAAATAAAATAAAAAAGTTAAACGAATTTAAAAATAGTTGGTACTTTAAAAATACAGAGCAACTGTAAAGAAAGGTTCACAATATTTACACAAAATTTGCTATTCTTATATACCGCTGACTGCCATGTGAGAATGTTTATTTTTAAAATGTGTATGCAAATTTGGGGAGAAAGCAGGTAATATATAAAATTTTAGCATGGATTTCTTCATTTTTAATTTCGTCAGGGTCATTGCTGGATAATTTATTAGAAATCTTGTTTGTTTTAAAATACACTATGCTCAGTTATATTTTATGCATAATCCATAAAATATTATTTTTAATTTACAAATTCTTAATTCATATCTCCTTTTTATAGAAGAAGTTATAAAAATAAGATTTTTCTCTTTATATTTATACATATATATACATTAGGTAAAGAAAATGGAAATATTTAATTCAATCGTACGCTTCTGTTGAAGGACTGAATTTAAAAGCAATTATTATAGTGAGTATTTAAAAAAAAATGTTTAGGATGTTAATACTGTCTCATGTTAATTGGTAGTGAAAATATAGAGCTAGAAACATCCCAAAGTCTCAGCACATGTATGTTCATTCACATAAAAGTGAAACGAGAAAGCATATATATATATATGTACAGGGAGCATGCTTTAAATTCGTATTATATAATTTTTAAAATAATTTTCTTTTGCGGGGAAAATTTAAATAAATAAGAGCATAAATAAAACATTAAATTTAATGCATATAATAATAGAAATAAATTATAAAACACAAATATAGATTAAATTGGAACAAGATGTTAAGAAAGTTGCAGACAGGGTGGAAAAAGCATATGGGATTCGAATTTACGACCCAAAAAGTTAAACCATGCTACCGTCAACTTTACCACTAAGCTATCATCACGCTGGAATGACACTCAATTTTGGCTTATATACATCATCAAGTAAATGCTTAAAACTAATTTTTTTTTTTGTCCTATTTCAGTGTGCTATAGTCTAAAAAATTCACCAGAGTTTTTTCTTCAGCTTCTAGGACATTTCTCACATTATCTCTTAAAGTGGCGTGCTGATTGAAGTTAAACGGGCTGCTAAAAATATATTCCATGTGCTTACAAATATATGTTAGCCTAAAAGGTATATTTATAAACAGAGAAATAAAAATTTAACATACCCTGTAATGCAGTGGAATATTTAAAAGGCTATTAGATTTAATTTATAATTAAAGTTTTTAGTTTTTACCTGTTTCAAAAGAAAAAATAACAACTCTTTTTATGCCATATCTGATTTGCTACAGCAATTTGATATAGTTAGACGTTCAGTTTCGTTAAAGGTAAATGTGTATGCTGAACTAGGAAATAATTGTGAGGACAAATTTTGCTATTTCGTGGGACTTGAAATTGTATTTTTTGCACCTAATTTTCTTGAACTGAATTTCTTGACCGCCTGATTTTCTATGCGAACTAGTACTGTAGTCGCAGCTATCTTATTTTTCTTATCTTTTTTTTTAAACTAAATGCAGCTGGTTGCTTTTTTTTTTCAGTACGCAGATTTCTCGCTATAATGTTAATTCAGAAATAAGTATTTTTTAGCAAAACATTTTTTTCCCTAAGCCAGCATTCATCGCTACTTCTGCCGCCATTAATTTTTGGTGACAACACCTGATTTGCTTCTTTTTTACTTCCTTGTACAAAGTAAAAAGGAAGTATCGTAATCGCGAAAAGTTTCAGGCAGCATATTTTAACGAAAATATCCATTTTGACTGCTATTGAATGCAATTTAACGATGTTTTTGCGTGATATCTGTACGTAAGGGCAGAATAAAATACTCTTTTCCTTCAAAAAAATTATAAAACTGCTTTAAAATTAATTCTGAAGAGAATTTTTCGTGACGTCTGTACGAACGTATGTACGTACGTACGTATCTCGCGTAACTCAAAAACGAGTAGCCTCAGAACGTTGAAATTTTGTATATAGGACTGCTATAACATGTAGAAGTGCACCTCATATTTTGGTTGCAATCGGCCGCACCAAACGTATATAAATATCCGCTCTGTTACCCGGCTCAGTGATCTAAGTTTCTTTACTCTTATATGTTTGTAAATTGTACATCTTTTGCTTTAAAAATGATTGTATTTTGTTGTTTTTATCTTCCGGTTAAGGTTTTTATGCCTTTAGTAAATCTGTATGCAATATTTTGAGAATTATCGACAATTTTAAAGTTGTCTAAGTGCCGCTAAGCCTTTTTTTAATGGCTGCCATTGATGTTTACATTTGAAACAGGAGATTGGTGGATTTGTTGCCAATCTAGAGAAACTTAGCTTCGCGACAAAAAAGATAACGCATTCATTTATTATTGCCAATTAAATCATGCTTAATTCTTTCTGGAATTTTTTCGAGGAAATAAGTGTTTCAGATTTACTTCGTAATTTTTAATATAGATA